CCATTTTTTAAATGAGTTGTTTGTTTTGTTGTGGTTGAGTTGTATGAGTTCTTTACATATTTTGGATATTAGCCACTTATCATATATATGATTTGCAAGTATCTTCTCTCATTTGGTTGGTTGTCTTTTGTTTTGTTGATGTTTTCCTACACTGTGCAGAAAGTTTTTAGTTTGATGTAGTCCCATTTGTTTCTTTTTGCTTTCGTTTCCCTTGCCTTAGGAGACATATCCAGAAAGATGTTGTTACGATTGATGTCAGAGCCTATACTGCCTATGTTTTCTTCTATGATTTTTATGGTTTCAGTTCTTACATTCAAGTCTTTAACCCATTTTGAGTTAATTTTTGTATATGGTGTAATATAGTTTCATTCTTTTGCATGTGGTTGTCCAGTTTTCCCAACACCATTGATTGAAGATACTCTCCTTTATCCATTGTATGCTCTTTACTCCTTTGATATAAATTAATTGTCCATATATGTGAGAGTTTATTTCTGGACTCTCATTTCTGTTCCATTGATCTATATTTCTGTTTTTCTGCCAATAGCATGCTGTTTTGACTCGTATGTCTTTATAGTGTTATTTGAAATCAGGGAGTGTGATACCTTCAGCATTAAATTTTAGGATGTTTTTGTTCCAGTTTTTGTGAAAAATGTCTGTGAGATTTTGTTGGGGCTTGCATTGGATCTGTAGATTGCTTTAGGTAATATGGACATTTTAACAATGTTAATTCTTCCCATTCTATGAGCATGGAATATCTTTCTGTTTCTTTGTGTTATCTTCAGTTTTTTTCAATAGTGTCTTACAGTTTTCAGTATACAGGTCTTTCACCTCTTTGGTTAAATTTATTCCTAGATATTTTATTCTTTTTGTTGCAATTGTAAATGGGATTTTTTCCCCTTGAATTCACTTTATGCTAGTTTGTTATTAGTGTGTAGAAATGCACAAAAGATTTTTGTATATTGATTTTGCACCCTGCAACTTTATTGTATTAGTTTATTATTTCTAGTAGGCTTTTTTTTTTTTTTGGTGGTGTCTTCAGGTTTTCCTATATATAAAGTCATGTCATCTGCAAATAGTGTCAGTTAAACTTCTTCTTTTTCAATTTGGTTGCTTTTCTTTTTCTTGCCTAATTACTCTGGCTAGGACTTCCAATATCATATTGGATAAGAATGGTGAAAGTGAGCATCCTTATTTTGTTCCTGATCTTATAAGGATAGATTGTAGTTTTTCACCATTATTATGTTAAGGCACATTTCTATACACAATTTATTGTGAGCTTTTATCATAAATAGGTGGTGAATCTTGTCAAATGCTTTTTCTACATCTGTTGAGATGATCATAGGATATTTATCCTTCATTTTGTTAAGGTGGTATATATTGTGTTGATTGATTTGCAGATGATGTACCATCCTTGCATCCCTGGAATAAATCCCACTTGGTCATGGTGTATGATCCTTTTAATGTCTTGTTGTATTTGGTTTGCTAATATTTTGTTGAGGATTTTTGCATTTGTGTTCATCTGAGATACTGGCCTATAATTTTCTTTTTTTGCCTTGTGCTTATTTGGTTTTGGTATCAGGGTAATGTTGACCTTATAAAATGAGTTGGGAAGTATTCTCTTCTCTTCAAATTTTTGGAAGATTTTGAGCACAATAGGTATTAAATCTTCTTTGACTGTTTGGTAGAATTTACCACCTCATGTATATTCTTAGTCTTTTATTTATTCTTATAGCAATTCATGAATAGCACCTCTTTTTTACAATACAAATATATATGATAAGTCTCTTGAAATCATTCATAGTGGTAGTAATTAATCAGCACAAATCAAAATTTGAGGACCATAAAATGATGTGAGGATCTTTAAAAATTGCTTTGTTACGTCACTACTGCTTCTGCTAGGTAGCCTAAAATGAAAATTGGCTTTGTTAAGTCCAGAATCTCAGTTCTCTTTTCTAAAAATTTCAGTATGTTCCTGTTTTTCTCTATATAGAAAGAAGTAGAGGATTTTTGGTAATATATTCTTGATTTTTATCCATTTCTAGCCATGTTTTAATTACTCTGTTATCCTCATCTCAGGACTATCTGTTTCTGGCTGCCTCTCTAAAATGCTTTAACTTAAACCTAAAGCTCTGTGGAAGTAGACCAGCCATATACAGTAGAGAAATTTGAGATTTATCATGCACTAAAATTAAATATTTTTCTTGCAATAGATTTACTTTACTTTTATATCTGTTTCCACACTCCATTTGATTTTGACCAATGACTGAATTTTTGGGAAACATTTAAAATACCATTAGCAAATATATCTTTTTACAGGTTTTTTTTGATCAAAGAAAGTAATTTTTGTTCAAAATCTACTTCTGCCTTAGACTTTGAGATCTGTAAAAACATAAATAGGCAGCCACCTAGATCTCGATTAAGTTTATTTTATTTCCACTACTTAGCTATGACCAGTGTGTCTGTTTTATCCTAGACTTTCTGTAATTTCCCTTTTTTCCCCTCAAATGAACTCGTGGGATTGATTTTGGAGAGAATATGGAATTAAACATTGTAATTTCCATTTGCTCCTTCTACTCCCTGCAACCCTACTGCTACCCCAGGGAGTCTTTATTAATGTTGCCAATTCTCCCATCCACTTTTCTAAAGCTTAGCGACTGTCCCAGGATTTTATGGTTTCTCATACCTTTCTAGGTAAAGTTTAAATTCTTTAGCTTAATCATTTATTATCTACATACTTCTCAAATTTCCATCATTTTCCTTTTCAAGTATTTGTACTTCCTTAGAACAGGTTTCTGTTTTCTAACTCCTACTTGGCCATATGCTAGTGTTCCTGCTTTTTCTAGCTGCAACTCATGTCAGTTTCCCTTTTCTTAATGGTTGTTGCACATCTGCTTCCAAGCCATCCACTTGGCTAGTGCTCTCAGAGTTTCTTGCTTCTTTCAGCTGCTCCCAGTGGGACATCCATCCTTTATTTGTGGTCTTTATATGGAATACAGTCCCATTGATAGAGTACTGTTGACAGATCTTGGCCATCAGTGGGGATGTAGTTAGGGGTAAGCTACAATTCCCTTATTTCCCCATTTCTTTATTTCTCACAGTACCACTACAGGTATGGCTGGATCAGTTGGAGAAAATAAAGGGAATTAAAGTACAGTAGAGAAACATTTAAAACCATGTCTAAATCCAAAATCTACCCCTACCCTCAACCTGGTCCAAGAGAAAGCATTCAAGAAGTTGAATCATCAGAGAGTGGCCCCTTGTATACTTCCTTTACTCTTTTGTACTCAAGACTGTACCTCTGAGTGCCCACTTCTACTTGCTGTGCACCTTTAGGATCGTCATCCTCTAGCCTCAGAACTGGTTTTAGTCCAGGGGTTACTTTCTTCAGCCAAATATTTTGACAAGTTTGAATCCTTTTGGCCACTGCCTGTCAACACTGTTCATGGTAGGTTTTGACACCCAAATCTTGCAGAGTATTCAGGAGTTTGTGTGATTTTTTTCTAAGTCTGATCACCTTTGAGGTCTTCCTACCAATGTAAACTTTAGAAATGCATTTGATTCTTTTAGTTATTTGTGGGTAACTCTTGAATCAGATACATGTTCACCATAAACCTGTCCCAAAGACCAACATTAAATTTCAGATGGAGTGTGGTCTGAACCAATAATACAAAGAGAAATATTTTCTTTAATGCCCTCAAAAGGATTGTCTCATAATGAAGACAGCACTTCACTTTATCATACATATACAGAGCATGATTTTTCTTTGTCTCTGACTGACCCCCTTATTCAAATGGAAATCCCTTGGCCTGTTTTAAAAAGAAAGAAGTCCATGACCAAGTCAGGGCAGCTTATTTGGTTGAGTAAAGATCCAACTAAAGCTGTTAAATCACCATACATTGTAAAAGGTTAGATTAATTACTGTAAGGATAGCTATTGGCTAGCCTAATTGATGGTGGAGTTGAGGGTTTTTTTGTTGTTGTTGTTCTTTGTATTATACGTCTATTACCACTTGTCCTTTACCATCTTCCTCGAAAAGCTGTCAATGTCAAAAATGCCCTTTTGTGTACCTCTGGCAACCTAGCATAGCTCCATCATATTATTATACCACAATAATTGATTTACCTGTCTGTTTTCCTAGCACATGGAATTTAGTGAGTAATCAATAAATGTTTATTGAATGATAACTGAATCAGTAAAAGAAACTGGAATATGTTATATTCGAAAATTTACTCTTATTTCAGCAATTCCTTAATGATTAGGCATAAAATTTCATAGAGAGTTGGTTTATTTGCTAGTGATTAAAATCAGGTGCCTGCAGTTAAAATTTCTTTGTGTTGCAAATTAACTTTTGGATTATAAGCACTTTGATGAGGAGAAAAGGACCAGACAGCTGCTGAGGCCCCACTCACTCTTAGTATTTCCTCTCAGTGCTGGAGCTGTACTTTGTACAGCCTTCTGTCTTGGGGAAGAAGAAAGAAACCAAAGTAAAAGAGTATGCTCTGATAATCAGTCTCTTATCATCTAATTATGTCAGACAGTCGGGTGCTGCGTGTTGTGTTATTTATTTTACCTGTTTGCTCTTTTGACAAAAAGTTAGAGTAAGCCTTTTTACATGTAGGAAAGCCTCTTTTGGTGGTGTGAGTTCTGTTGAAAAATAGGAAATAAAAGTTACTGAGGAATGGAAGAAGAGAAATTTTCATTTTCTAATAAACTTGTAGATTTATGCATAAGTACACAGGGAATTTCTGAAGTATTTTAAAATTTATGTACTCTATGTAAAGCTTCTATATAAGAAGATTTAAAATCACCATGCACATTTAAATCTAAGGTGTTTGGCTTACTGTTGTCTATTACATATATATTTTTGGATATTTTAGAACACAGATCTTTTGAAGAAAAAGAAATAGTTGTTGGCAGAAATTTGTTTTCTTTTGTTAAAGAGGAGTTAATAAATGCCTATTTGTTTCATGATCAAACATATTATTTGACTTCTCTTATAGAAATTTCAAGAAATTGCTGAAAAAAATATGGAAAAATTGAACCGTATGGAGAAGTCACATGAGCAGTTGGTTCTTGAAAATTCACACTTCAAAAACTTGTTGTCACAGACTAAAAGGGAACAAACATCCTTGTTGGCGGCCTGTGCATTGATGTCTGGTGCCTTATATCCTCTCTATAGCCGATCATGTGCCTTATCTACACAGAGAGACTTCCTCCAGGAGCAGGTCAACACCTTTGAGTTGTTCAAATTGGAAGTTAGAACTCTAGCCCAGGCTTTGTCAACTGTAGAGGAAAAGAAGCAAGAGGAAGCCAAGATGAAGAAAAAACCCTTCAAAGGATTGATACGTGTGTTCCGGAAAGGTGTTATTGCAATTTTGGCAGCAAACAGATTCAAGACATTGGGCCAATCATGTGCCTCTCTTTTTACCTGGATGGAGAGTTTCAAAGAAGGCATAGGCATGTTAGTATGTACGGGAGAGCCCAAAGACAAGCATAAATTTCCAAGTAAGATAAATTGTGCTTCTTAAAATCTAAGTTGACTGTAAGTAACATAAAAGTGAATACGTTTGGCCATTATGCAGAAACTTTAAAAATTCATTTCACATGTCAAATCATGTAGCATAGTCCCTTACATGTGTAGATATGTATGTGTGTATGAATAAATGTTTTATCTATGTATAAATTAGGTTTTGATTTTTTTGTTGTAAACCTTAAAATATAAAGAAGGTAGCAAATACGTATAATTTCAACTTCATCTAGCTTTATTTTATTTGAATGCTCTTTTCGCAGTAAATTGAAGAGCTTATACAAGTGGTTTTCTAGTAAGTCAATCCAGAAACTCTACTCTATTTAAAATTAATTAGCAGTATATTTTCGCTTTCTTTGAATTAGTATAAAATGATCAGAGTTAAAAATCTATTGAATTGAATGAAAATGAGACAAATGTAAATTTTCCAGCTAACACTTTTTTAAATGCTTGACTATTCTGAGGAAACAGTAATTTCAATTTTTAACTTTAAAAAGCAAACAAGTAATATGAGTAGAGCCAAAGATTTCCTTTTCCCTCTATTTGTTATCAGTTAACCATTAGCTATATACATTAATTAATTAAAGTCAATAAAATCTAATTTCTTGTAGACTTTTTCACACTAGGTGAAGTTCTATGTATAAGTTTTGATCTACTTCTTAAATAGCTAAATATTGCTGTGAATTTTAAATATGGATTTTAATTAATTTTTGTAGCATCACATAATGGATTTTTTTCTATTTTTGCAGAACATCAAAAAGAGCAGTTACGTTGTTTGCAAGCTCTCAGCTGGCTCACCAGTTCTGACCTTCATGCTGCAATAATCAGTTCTATGGCTGAGTTACAGGAAGCTATTAGTAAAACAGGTATGGTTCCCTCTTTTATATCCTTACAAAATACATTTAAAAAGCAAATGTCCAGAAATGGTTTATGGTATAAATTCTAATAAACCTTCAAGGAAGAAAATGTATTTGTTCTTATCTTTCTTTTATTCAGGTATAGAGAGATTGCTAAATCTACATTTAGTAATATAGTGTATTAATGTAAATTTTGATGGATAATTTTGTCTTCATTTATGGGGAAATTAAATGACATTTCTTGGTGCGTATATCCACCTTTTTATTTTCCTTTGTGATCTGATTTTCCTATAGAAAGCTCATCATTAGCTTTTTTATTAGGTAATACTGGCCATGTTCTTTCAAATGTTTCAGTCTTCTGTTTCTGGCTATAAACTTAAGAAATTTAAGTAATAACTGGATCAGTAGAAAAATTTTCTCTCTCACTGGTGATGTGTCTTTATTTTTTCTGTTTAATTTTAAATAGAGTTAATTTGAATAGTAGGTATGAAACCACCTATAATCGATAATTTCCAAAGGTCTAAAATTCATTTATTTTTTTCATGACTCATGATTGTGTGACATGTTTGTGTGAAAGGTACAATGAAAACTAATTTCTCTATGCTAAAAGAATAACATACAGTTACCTACTAGTTAAGCTATGTCATTGGACTAATTATGGCCATTTCAGACACATTAATAGTAAAAAATATAATGGACTTGTTAATACCTGCCTGTATAATGAACTATTCTAAGTATTAATGAAATGATAAGTTGAGATGTAATTTTTTAGACAATTCTGCTAAATAAATATAAATCATTTATTTTGATTTCAAATATCTTAACCTAGGCTCTTGTAGTATGAAACTTATGATTCAAAGATTGTTTTTAGATTGTGGCCATTGATGTTGGTAAGGAATATGCAGCTTTAATGTATTGGCAAAATGCCAACGTACTGGATTTGGAGTCTGAAACAAAAGTCTAAATAAATGTATTTTAAGAATGTTGGTTTTGTAACTTCAAAGCAAAACTTTACATTCTTGACAGAACTTAGTAAGTTTTTGCATTTGGTTTAGTAAGCAGATGATTTGTGTTAGTCATATACTTTCTAGGTATGTAGACCTAAAAGTAGACTGGTTTCTTAAGCTGTAATCTTGTTTATATTATTACCTTATTTAATGCATTTTTCCCTTATCAGTGTGCTGTATACTTTAGGAGATAAAAATGTGACTTGATCTGGCCCTCTGAAAAACATACACAATGGTTGTGAGAATAAGAGTGACAACTCATGAACAGCTTTAGGCAGAATGAAATCAAGGATTGGATGAGGAAGAACAGATTTTAATCCATAGAAGGTGCAGCTAATGTGGGTTTGTGAGTACTGGGAAGGCTTCAGGGAGGAACTGGTGATCTAGTTTGGCCTAGAATGATAGTAAGTAAGAGAGGAGAGTTGGCATTCAGGTGCGGGGCATAGCTTAAGCAGAGATGCAGACGTGAGAATAAGCATAGAATGGAAAGAAGGGACATTAAAGAGGCGAGAATGTAAATCCATGTGTATCAGGCCTGGCCTCTAGATAAAATGTTTTTTCTATTATAACCATATTGAGAAATAATAAAGGAAAGGGTAGGTCATTGGCATGGAATCAGATTGTGGAAGATTTATAAAAGTAGGAGGCGATTTCTCCTGAGCACATTTTCTAAAGGTAGCTCCTTGTAATATTTTTAAGTTAAAATACTGACAAAATTCTTATTCAGGACCTGGTAAAAATACATGTCGATAAGACCTGTCAAGTAGTAGAGAGAGCAAGAGTGGTGTTTTTTAGTACTTGCCTACCTCCAGGAACAAAGCTGCTGTTGATGTTAGAACCTGTCGTGCCTCTAGCTGGAGGAAACAACAAGTTCAGAATGACTTGTTTGTAGGGAAGGCTTTAAATGTTGTTGGATAAGGAACGCTACTTAAGAGAAGAGAAAATGGTTGTTGCTTATAAGGGGAAAATAATTGGTGCATTAAAGTCCTGAAGAGTATTGGAAAGGATGTGGTTCAGGCAGATAGATAAGTATTACTGAACTAGTACAAAAATGATCCGTGTGGACTTTCTGCTGTAATGACTTGGCTAAGCTGGGCTTATCGAATAATTTTTTCAAAACATGATGAAGAGTTAATATATTATCTTTTCCAGGTAATGTGTTTTGATTTTAAGTCTATCCTAGTAGTAGAAATTTTGGATATTTTAGCAAAGAAGATAGGAAAATATTTTCAGACAAAGTATATGAGTGATTCTCAACAGATAATAGTAAGGGTAATAAATGTGAAGCATAACAACTTATATAGTCATGTGGAGTCTATAATTTAAGTGTATGGAAAACCTCATAGGTATTCATTATTCTATAGTAGAAAGAGCATTAACTTTGAACAAGGCAGATTTGATTTTGTATCCAACATTGCTAGTTATTAGTTGTGTGAAATTGGGCAAATTACTTAACTTTACTGGGCCTCACACTGTTTACCTAGAAGTGAAGATAGTATCTATCACCTTTCTGGTTGTTATGAGGATTTAATGAGATAATGTTTGTTCAACATTTTGTACATTACCTGCTATATAGTGGCTGTTAAAAAAACCCTAACCCTAACCCTTACCACCCATCTCACCATGAAAGTAGCATATAGCATTAATAAATGTGATTACATACATGTTTTCCTGTATACACTTTAGACTACTAGTTATTGTCTGTTTTAAAATTGCTGAAGTGCTGTACTGTGGAGGCAATGTAGGTGACTGAATGAAGCAACATATGGTTAAGCAGATATTCTGCCTGACTTTGAATACTGGTTCTGTGACATGGGCAAGCTATTTAAACTTTTTCTACCTCGGTTTATTTGTAAAATGGGAATTGTAAGTATTACTTATCTCAGAGTTGTTTGGAGAACTAAATGAGTTAATTTGTAAAGTGCTTAGAATGTCTTTGTTTACTACTTTACTACTTTTCCTAGTTCAAATATTGATCATTATTAAGAATTATTGTATTAACTAAATAATAATGAAGAGATTTGATAAAAATTTAGAATCAATCAAAATATACCAGTTTATCTTAAAATTTCAAGATGATTTACACATCATACATAGTTCTGACTTTTTAAAACAGTTTTGTTATAAAATAGTATACATACAAAAATCAAGAAGAAATTTCTTCCTCTGAATATAATGCATTATATGTTTGGGGGCATCACAGTTTGCTTCCTTTGTGACTAATAGAAGATCCCCACTTAAAGTAGGTTAATTATATAAGTTTTTTTCCTCCTAAATGATAGGAAGTTTGGAGGTAGGTAGAAACTCAGACTGTGTCTTTCTGTCTAGCCATCCTTAGTGGCTTCCTAGTTTTGAAGTGGTTACTCTACTTTCAGACATCAGGATTGTATTTGTGCAGGAAGGAGTCGGGAAGGACAAAATATGAGGCACATTGCTAGTGAGAATGAAAAATGATACAGCTGCTTTGGAAAAGTCTGGCAGTTCCCCAAAGTATTAGAAATAGAATTATCATATGAGACAGCAATTCCCCTCCTTTGTACATATCCAAGAGAAATGGAAACATACATGCATACAAAAACTTGTACATGGGAGTTCCAGTCAACATGGCAAAGTGGTAGGACCATGAGCTTGCCTCTCCTCACGACTACAATGAAACCACAACTAAATTCTAAACAACCATCGAAAAAAAACTGGAACCTAGCAAAAAAGATCTTCTGCAACTGAAAACATAAAGAAGGAACCACAGCAGGACGGTAGGAGGGGCGTGCTCGCGATATAATTGGGCCCAATACCCCCCGGGTGGGCGACCCACAGGCTAAAGATTTGTTAAGTCGCAGAGAACCTCCCACAGCACCATGTCAGGCTTCCCAGCTTGGGTCAGGGCATTGGGTTTTGAAGGCCAGAGGGGCTTGGCTCTGGGAGCCCCACGGGACTGAGGGAAACGGAGACACCATTCACTTGAGAAGCGAACACAGAATCTTGCGAGCACCAGGTCCAAGGGCAGAGGCAGTGATTTCGTAGGAACCTGGGCCAGACCTGCCTGCTGGATTTGGAGGGTCTCCTGGGGGACAATTGTGGCTCACTTAGGGGACATAAAAGCTGGTGGTGGACATTCTGGGAGTGTTAATCTACATGAGCTTTCCTGGAGGCTGACGTCCTGATTGGATCATTAGCACCAAGACCTAGCCCACCCACAGCCTGTAGGGAAATCTCAGGCCAAAAACATACAGGGTGGGAACATGGCCCCACCCATCATCAGACTTTCTAAGCCACAAAGGCCTCTAGACACAGCCCTACCCACCAGAGGTCCAGGACCAAGCTTCACCCAGCAGTGGGCAGGCTCTGGCTCCTCCTGACAGGAAACCTGCCTCATCCACCAGGGGCAGATACTAGAAATAAGAAAACAATAGACCCAAAACCTGTGGAAGGAATCCACAAACACATAGAAAGATAGACGATATGAGGCAGCAAAGGAATATATCCCAGGCCAAGGCACAAGATAAAATCCCAGAAGAAGAAATAAGTGATGAGGAGATAGGTAATTTATCTGAGAAAGAGTTTAAAGTAATGATGGCCAAGATGTTCGTGGACTCAAGAAGAGTAAGAATGCACAGAGTGAATTTAGCAAAGAGTTGGAAAATACAAAGAATGTCTAACAGAGTTGAAGAATAAAATCACTGAAATGAACAATACACTAGAAGAAACCAAGAATAGACTAAATGAGGCAGAAGAACAGATCAGTGGGCTAGAAGACAGATTAGTGGAAATCACTTCTTCAGAATAGAAAAAAGAATAAAAAAGGAATGAGGATGGTTTAAGAGAACTCTGGGATAACATGAAGTGCTCTAATATTCACATTATAGGGGTCCCAAAAAGAGAAGAGAGAGAGAAAGGATCTGAGAAGATTTTTGGAGAGATAATAAGCAAAAACTTCCCCAACTTGGGAAAGGAAATAGTCAACCCAAGTCCTGGAAGCACAGAGAGTACCACACAGGATCAACCCAAAGAGGAACACACCAAGGCACATAGTCATCAAATTGACAACAATTAAGGATAAGGAGAAAATATTAAAATTAGCAAGAGAAAAGCAACGAATAACATACAAGGGAACTACCATAAGGTTATCAGCTGATTTTTTAGCAGAAACTCTACAGGCCAGAAGGGAGTGGCATGATATATTTAAAGTGATGCAAGGGGGAAACTTACAATCAAGAATACTCTATCCAGCAAGGCTCTTGTTCAGACTTGATGGAGAAATCAAATGCTTCACAGATAAACAAAAGCTAGATTTCAGCACCACCAAACCAGCTTTACAACAGATGTTAAAGGACCTTCTCTAGTCATCAAACCGTAAGAAAAGAGAACAAAAAGAAGAAAGAGGAAAAAAAAAAGAGACC